CCGCGGCCTTCGCAAGGCGCCCTGCCGCGCGCCTCAGGACGCTGAGCGCCGAGGATCGCGGCTCAGAGCCAGCCCGGGCCGGAAAGGCCCTGAGAGTCTCATCTCCGATGAACCACCGGAGAACCGGAAGTGGCGCTGTGGCTCAAGCGGTAGAGCGCTCATCTGGAGCAAAAATACCCAAGGACAGTGTCCAGGTCCTAAGTTCCAAGCCCCGGGACGAACACACACACACACACGAGAAAGAAAAGAAAGAACAGAGAAAACAGTTTCATAACTATTTGGCTTCTGTTTACTCATGGAAGAAAATCCAAAAATGGGTTTTCAGGCTTGAGCCCCCTACACTGCACTTCACACTTCCATGCCTCTGCAGATACAGCCCCCAGGTATGGAAACCTGCCACTCACTGCCTGTCCCTTTACCTAGTGCCCATTGCTACAGGTGTCATCCACAGCATGTCTGTATTCCGTTCTGGGTTGCCCAATAATATGTCTTTTCTGCCTGCCTCCTTAATCCAATCTGGCCATTCTGTCCACATGGCTAGAGGTGACAGACAGCCAGTGGTCCCTGCTTTGTGAGTAGCTGCCTCACAGGAGGTGGTGACAGAAAGTGCCTTTCTGTGTTGCAGACCTGATCAAGGTCCAGGCCTGGCCCAAGAGGAGACACCAGTAACAACTGGTTCATGCTGGTATCGTTAGGATCCATGATACCCTGCATACTGTTGAGTCTTCAGTACCTCTGGCTCCCCGCTGAATGTGTAGGTGAGAAGAGAGCCTTGCACAACATTTGAGAATATCCAGCTGCTGAGCCATGCACTATAGCCCTGCAGTACCAATGTCCTCTTTACATAGCTAGAGACAATTGTACACACAACACTCAACTGACACTTCCTGGGAGCCATACTGGAACCCAGTCCAGTAGGAAGGATGCCCCCCTGTGGCACACAGTTTTCCCAGGAGCCTTTTGTTTTGATTAGACATCTTATCACACAGCATTACCATAAATTAGGCCAGGGTATATCTTTGCATTCCCTTTGCACCGGCATCCAGAAGTGTTTGTGGGAGGGAGAGAAGAGGAGGAGGAAGAGGAAGAGAGCAGAACAGACAGAAGGTCCCAGTGCAGTCCAGATATACTGCTTGCCTTCCCTAGATGCAGAGTCAGTATCCTAGAGGGCCAGCTTTTGTGGTTGGGTGTAGAGGGGAAACAGACTCAAAGCCTGGAAGATGTGCTAGTGCTGGGACATCTTAGCTACGTGGGGGCAGCCCCCAGGGCAGCTGGAAGTCCTCTGGCTCCAGTGGGCTGCAGTGAGTCGCCTCCACATTCTTGAGGTGCTTGCGGGCCAGGAACAGGGCCAGCTGCCGGCGCCGCCGGCGACTCAGGCCCCTGCCCACGAGCCAGGGGAAGGTGGGGCCGTGTGGTCCCCAAGTCTCCACATCCTCCAACTCCTCCTGACAGCGTTCACGGTAGGAGCGCAACATCGCCAGACACCACTCATCATCTACCCTGTAGCGGGCATAGAAGGCAGCCTCCTGCGCCAGGCTACTGGCACGAAGCCAGCGGGTGACAATGCTACGGCCCTCTCGGGCCATCACTGATGGGTATCGGTGCTGCAGCAGTTGTAGCAGCAGCTCATTCCCCCGATTGCCTTCCACATCACCTTCCATGTCACCAGATGCTAGGGTGGGCAGGTGGTCTGCAGTGCTGACCACGTCATCCTGTGTACGCCGGAGCAGCAGCACAGGCCCTGGGTAGCAGCACAGCTGCTCGGCGACATTGAGGTTAAAGTGCTCTCGTACTGTGCGCACCACCAGCCCCTTCCAACTATGGGGCATGACCTTCAAAGCAAGTGGTACAAGGTCATCGAAAGTGGCATCCAGCACCAGCGCACCTAGCTCTGGGTAAGTCATGGTGGCCCATGTGGCCGTGAAGCCTCCGATGGACCAACCGTAGACCACCACGTGAGCCGGGGGGAAGTGGAGGCGGTGCAGTGCGTACTTGACCACCACGTCCATGGCGTTGGCGTCGTGCTGAGGGAAAGGCGCACCTGTGCTGCCCCCAAAGCCCGGGTGGTTCCAGCCTAGGACTGAGTATCCAGCCTCAAGTGGTGCGGAAAGACAGCCCATCTCATAGAAGCCAGCATTGCCTTCACAGCAGATGACCAGGCGCAGGCCGCGGCCATGGCTCCCAGGGTGCTGCCTGCGGTCCATAAACATGGTGTCAATCTCATTGCCGTCACAGGCCACCAGTTTGGCGCGCCGGCCACGGTAGCGCTCTACCAGGCGCTCTTGGCCCTGCTGTAGCAGTGGCAGCAGCGCACGCGTCATCAGGAACATGGATCCAGGATATACCAGCCAGCGGCCTAGCGAGTGAGCCAGGGCATAGCTGGCTAGCTGGCTGGGCAGTTGGCGGATCTGCTGCAGGAGGCACTGGACCTGGCTACGAGCCCCCCGTGGCGGTCGCCCAGGCATGCCCCCGCCCAGCGCTGCGTCATGCAGCAGCCACACTCCAGCAGCAGCTGCTGCGCATGTCAGCGCGCGGTGACTACTGCCACCAGCGCTGGCCTCACGCACATCGTCCCAGCGGAAGTCCACTGGCCAGCTGCGGAAGTTGTAGGTGTAGTTTGCTGTTAGGTAGATCTTGAACACGTGCACCAGCGCCTTCACGAAGCAGATGACACACATGGGCACCAAGGCTTCGCATTTGTCCACACTAGCCTTGAGGCCCAGTGGAGGGACTGGGGTGGCTGTAGAAGTCCCAAATCCAGGCCCGGCCCAGCGGGCAGCTGCTGGGGTGAGCACAGTGCAGGGTGGTCTCCTGGTGTGCCTCCTCCAGGTAGGCCCTAATGTCCTTTGTGACCTGGGCCTTCCAGTACAGAGGGGAGGCTCTGTCTACCCCTGCCTTTGTGAGTCATCGTTGCTGGGGCAAAGGGTGATAGAGCTCACAAAGGGTTCTAGGGTGTGGTGGACCTCAGTTTCTGTCCCTCCTCTGTGACAGAGGGTTGCCTTAGGGCTCTGGGGGCAGTCCCTCCCTCCCTAGGCCCTGCTTCACTTTGAGTGACTACCTAGTCTTTGGGCAGCTAGAATCCAAAAATGACCCTTTTCTTGATAGATGAAGGGATCTGGCTCAGAAGAAAGCAAGAATCCCCATGTCTGCCAAATCTGCTGTTTTTATCCATGAGTTTGCATCTGTCAGCAAGGGTCCAGTGAGACCAGGACCGCTGCTGAGCAAGGTGGTGTTTGTTTAGGGAGTTAGACTCCTGCTCCTCCGGGAGCAAGCTGGAAGCCCCCTCCCCTGCTTTTACTGCTCCTCTCTTCACCACCAGCAGCAGCAGTGAGGGCAGGTAAAGCCCTGCCTGGCCCCGGCTCCTCTTTTTCAGCCTCTAGTTGAACCTTTCCTCATCCCTCACACAACACCATAAACTGTACCTTCTTTTGTAGAGGGATCTAGCAGATTCCTCTTTTTTTCTCCTGCATTGGAGAGGGTCCGTCTGCCTGAGATCCAGAGGGCAGTGAAGGGCCCTGCCCAAGAGACTCATTTTCCCACTGCCCAAGCCTGAAAAATGCTAATGCCTCAGTCACTCAGCCATCCCCTGAGCCTCAAGGCCAGGCCATGCCAGCCTTCCTGAGAGACCCCAGGCTTTAGTGAAGGGCATTTCCAGGCCCTAGAACCTTCCCCCCTTGCTCTCCAGGTTGGAGGAACGGGGTTGCTACTGTGTTGAGGGTTGGAGAATAGTAAGGGCTAAATGACAGAGTGATTTCAGGGAAGCCAGCAGCTTACTCACCTGAAGTTGCAGATAAAATACAGAATATACAAAATTGAATTTCAGATAAAGGTAAAAAAATTGTGTGCGTGTGTGTGTGTGTGTGTGTGTTCAAGACAAGATCTTGGTATATAGCACATGCTTGCCTTGAACTTAGGATCCACCTGCCTTAGCTTTCTGAGTACTAGGATTATAGACACATACTAATATACCTAGCTTAAGCAAAGTTTTTTGTTTTTTTGTTTTTTGCTACATGTGCATCCTAAATATTGCATGGAACATACTTATATAATCTGACTGAGATGATACCTGTACAGCCATTTCTGTTTTCACTTTCAATGCAATATTCACTAAATTACATGATATAGTCAATATTTTATTACAAAGAGTCTATAGTAGATGATTTTGCCCAACTGGCAGCTGATAGAAGTATTCTGAATTCACTCCCTTCCTTCCTTTCTTCCTTCCTTCCTTCCTTCCTTTCTTTCTTTCTTTCTTTCTTTCTTTCTTTCTTTCTTTCTTTCTTTCTTTCTTTCTTTCTTTCTTCCTTTCTTTCGCCTGTCCAGGGTCTGGGTACAGTCCCT